CGCATTGCGTGCAATGCACCTAGCAATAATTAACGGTTCTAGAATAACTTCGAGGGTCACAAGGTCATTTGGCATCATCATAATTTGTTCATCTCAATCTTCTCTTTTCTTTTCTTTTCTAGCACTTCTTGGCTTGCTCATTTTCCTTCCTCTTTTTTTCTTCAAATTATCACTCTTTTCTTTCCTCTCATTTCTCACATCCCATAATTTCATCTCTCTTTTTCTTTTTTTTCTTTTAATATTAATTTTTAAAAATTATTCGATCGAACTCTATGTAGGTTGCCTATGTATCATGACGCCGTATGAATCAGATCTTTGCGCAGTTCGGAAAGATTGGAATAAAGAAAACAAACTAACGTTCTCTTTTTCTTTTTTTACCCTTTTTTTACCTAAATGAATACTCTGAAGAGAAAAAGGAAGAAAATCTCTCTCTCTCTCTCTTTTTATATTTAATGTTCTATAATCTATTCCAAACTCAATCTTAAAAAAACATATATTTTTTTTCTTTTTCTTTTTCTTTTTTTTGAAATAAATAATCTATGAGAAATTATTAAGGAAAAACCCCTAGAAGAGAAAAATATTTTTTGATTCTTTTTTTAGGAAGAAAATCTAAAGAATGAACCAAAGAAAAATATTTTAAATTTTCACTTGATATCCTGAAGAAAGATTTCGAAACAAGCAATGAAAAAGATAAAAATATTTTTGGATTTCAGCTTTTGATTACCTAAAGGAAAAACTCTAAAAATAAACAAACGATAAAGTATGGTTTTTTTTTCTTCTATGTACAATGTCCTAAAGTTCTAGTGAAAATAATATATTTCCCAAAGAAGAACCTCAAAAGAAAATCTTTTTGGATTTTTGGAATTAATATCTTAAAGAAAACTTCTAAAGAGGTATTTAAAAGAAAATTCTTTTTTTTTGTCTTTTTATTCTTAATATACTAAAGGAAATATAAAAGTAATTTTTATTTTGAGTTCAAGATATTAACTTCCTAAGGAAAACCACCTCAAAAGAATCTTTTTTTAAAATTTATAGAATTAGTATTCTAAAGGAAACTTCTAACGGAAATATAAAACGCAAAATCTATTTTTTTTTATCTTTGAGTTATAACACACTTTTTCAAATGCAAAATAGGAAGTACAATAACAAAAGACTCCACATTACTGTACAAAACTACAAGGTAAAAGACGACATAAAAAGAAAAATAGAATCAAAACATAACATAAAAAAATCTCCATTTGCAAACTCCTGAATGACCGATCCTGATTGGATGGCCTCGGAGTGTCTGTCATGCTCAAACTCCGATAAGTAGATCCACACATGTATGAGAAAACTGAAACAAACACTATGTGAGACAATACCAGTCCCTACTGGACACATACAAGACATGATTGAGGCTATTTTTGCAAAACGGCGTGTGTGGCCAAAAGGTGGGTAGAAGTGCAAACTCGACAAAAGTGACATCTAAGACATGGAGAAATTACTTTGCAGAAATGTCCCTTTTTATAGAAATGGTCTATGTGGAAAAAAAATGGCTAAGCATGTATTCAACACAACAGACCTTAAACAGAGAGAACATCTTGTTGTGGACTTAGAACTCTAAAACATGGGCTAATTGAACCACTTTTGCAAAAATGACCCCATTTTGCAAGAACGGCCGATGTGGCCAAAAGCAGCTAGATATGCAAATTCGACAAGGACAGACCTTTAAAGTAAAGAGAAACCGAATTATGGATTGAGGGCTCTCCAGACACAATTAAACAAACCACTTTGCGAATATTGCCCTATTTTGCAAAATGACCGATGTGGCCAAAAGTGGCTAGACATGCAAGAATTGGCTATGATCCTTGAAGCCAAGAACCTAAGACTCACTAGGAAGACTGTACCCTATTTGGGTTTCCTACGTATCCCGCCCCGAAAGACGAGAATCAGGTATGCGTAGTTCGAGAAGATGGGATACGAGCGAGAATAAAAAAACAACTAATTTAGAGAAAATATATTTTGTCTTTTTTCTTGAAAAATGATGAAACATGTAAAATCTTTTTGGATTTTCTTTTTCTTTTTTTTTCTCTTTTCGTTTTTTTGAAAAAATGATGGGAAAGTGCGAAATCTTTTTGGATTTTTTCATTTTCATTTCTTTTGGTCTTTTCTTGAAAAAGCGTGAAAGAAAATTATAGCTTCGCCCTACTTGCTTTATTTTAAACTTCACACTCTTTTCTTTCTCATTTACCCTCAACCCTCATTGGTCCGCCAAATGACCCCTTTTACCCTTGTAGAATGTAACATATAGCACATAAGATGCATCAAGATGGTCTTTTATTTTTTAGTACACCTGTCCTAGACGGACCCAACCCCTGTGTTGAGTCCCTAAAGTCAAATGCACATGATGCAAATAAGAGTTCCTAATAGGGATCCAGCATGGGGCTGCGTTATTCTAAGTTTTAAAACTTGGGTGTATTGTTCTAGACTTGGTGTACTCGAGCGGATAACTCGAGCCAAGGGGGGTATGTACCGGGAACCAAAAGGCCATCCGGCTTTGTAACTTGTTTGAACCTCTTTCTAAATTAGGTATGACACTAACAGAAAAGAAGTCACGCCAGCATGCACTTCCCCGAATATGAGAAGAGAAGGGTTTCGCAACAGTTTATATACAGTTCAAATAATATCAAAGCGGTAAAAAACGGCATTTAGCACATTAGGCCCTAACATGTAACAAAAATGAGATAATAAATAAAAGCCAAATATAAAAGCTATTCTAAGCTGGAATTCTGAACCATGAACTAGAAATTTTGGGTTCTTATCCCAAGCAGAGTCGCCAGAGCTGTCACACCTCCTTTTTCTACCCCAGAAAAGGTATAGGGGAGTTTCTCCAATTAAAGTGACAATAATAGAAACGAGATTATTTATTTCAAATTCAGAGTCGCCACTTGGGATAATTTATGGTGTCCCAAGTCACCGATTTAAAATCTCGAATCGAGGAAGTTTTACTCTGTTTTACAGTCTGCGAAACACAAAAATCCTGGTAAGGAATTTTGTTAACCCGGGAGAAGGTGTTAGGCATTCCCGGATTCCGTAGTTTTAACACGGTCGCTCAACTATTATTATTTACCTAACTATCTGATTAATCACATGTTTTATACCTATTGTGCATTTTTAACCTTTGACCGCTTTTAATTATTTATGGCATTATTCTAGAACAAGTTACAATTGTTGTATACTTGTTTGTTTGGTACACATTGTAAATCGTGTCACGGGAACCATACCCACAATGTACAACATGTTTAATTTATTAGCATTATTAATTTTTATGGCCGGGTCACAAAAATGTACCCCCGAATTTGAAAATTGTGTACCACAACTACGTCATGTGAATCGTACCCGTAGCTATGATACTTTATTTAATTAACGCGCCTCAAGCAAACTACGAGAATTCAAGGCATTTCTCTACATTAGTTAAGTTATTGGTGTGAGGGCCATAAACTATGTGATTGAATGGCATACCTCAACTTATTTTAAAAAAAAATTGTATTCAACTAAAGCGAATCATGGAGTTCTTGCTTAATCTAAATCAAAAACAAAAAAAAATGTTTGTTGTAAGTAAGAAAAGTAAACAAAACTAAAATTGTATTCAACTAGAGAGTAAGTAAGAAAATTAAACAAAAGTAAAATAAATAATTAAATAAAAACTTATTTCATGCTCTATTCCCTTTAATTTCTCGTTTACATGAATTTAGACCGAGCTCAATCCTAAAGCATGTAAGTGAGTTAGATCCTAATGGACTCGATCTTCCCCCACCCACAGTTCAACAATCATCCAGACAAATATTATCCAACCCAAAGAAAATAGGCATCTAGAATATATATAAGCTAAATAATGACACGGACAATAAAAAAATAAACAACAGATTCCAATATGACAAAAATCTTTCTAATTCTAGCTAAATCGCCCCTCACTCTCACGTGTTCAGCAGCAAACATGATTCCCAGTGCACACGAGGATTGTAAAGGTCAAAATTTGACCAAGAGCAAACCAAAACTTTCACAAACAAAAGGAGCTACAACACAATTTGGAAATAACTGAGAAGACTACAAATGCACCACATTCTACAACCTTGGTCATACAAATCGAAACATGAAGCCTGAGCGCAAACATAGACATTTCTATGACACTTACGCATCTGGCTAAAGAGAGAAGAGACCAAGAATGTTAAAGAACCAATCCGAACAAATACCAATAATCTAGAACTAAAGAAAATGACAAAAAGATCTTTTAAACTTGAATAGGCAGGGATTAACTTAAAAAGGAATTAACTAATGTTGTAACTGATAAACAGGAAGAAAATACACATTTTCCTATCTTTTACCAACCTTAACACAATAGTGAAGGCTTCAATTTCATTCAAACTTAGCTGAAGATGATCGATCACCAATAGATAGAGAATCCCAAATGATGTTTTCAGCCTTTCATGCGTGCACCAGTGTGTTCGAAACTAAACCAACAGTCATGAATCAAATCTTCGAATTCTAGCAGCTAGGAACAGACTTGCAAGTGTCATAACTAAGTGTATTTCTCAACAAACATAGAGGAAGAGGGAAAAACTATAATAGCAAGACAATATATGTTTGATTTCATCCAAATCTATGAAGTACGAAAATTTCGCTAAGCCATTACACATCAACTAACACGGATATGGAAACTTTGCATTTTTCTAACAGTAATCTAATATGCCTCACCAACTCACATAATCACAAAATCAAATCGAGCCTCGATCAACCATGTTGGAGTTGAACAGATTCCATATAGACGTTCAAATACCAAAAGCAAAACAAGGCACATGTAATGAAAGGAAATTCACGCAAAGCTTAACTCTATTCGAAACCGGCGAACAACTGCCTCTGTTAACACTCAAACCTGATCGTCTTTCCACAACTAAACTGAACCAATCGATTGAACCTTGGATCTTATCATATGAAGATCAACACCAAAAGAGAGATAAAAGGGAAAAAGAATGAACCTTTAAGAGGATTTCAATTAAAACTTCTGTCCGGATGTGATACAAGCAAGGAAATCAAACAACAAGATCCATATCCACTGCATGAAACAATCAACAATTAAATCCGGAACTACGAACAAAACCTCAGAGACAGCAAACGACGGACAATAATCAAATCGAACCCCCCTCGACTCCATCAGATTCCATAAGAGAAGATCAAAATCAAAAACTAGAGTGTATGTTTTTTTCGGATTTGAGAAGCAGAAATGACATTAAAAGGAACTAAAATTGTAGGGATGTTTATGAACTCTTCGAAACTTTCCCCAATTTTTTCCTAATTTATGTCCAAAAAACACCTCTGATTTTTCTGTCTGTGTACCTCTATTCCTCTTACTGTTCGTGTGTGAGTGGTTGCCGGTTTCTGGCCATTTCTGGTGGTGAAAGAGCAGCAACCGGTCTGCTGTGAGTTGAAGAAGAAGGAGCTATGGTGTACAAAGGTGGTGTGAGCGGCGTCTGGGCTTGGCTGGAGGGGCAGTGGCGTTGATTTTGGAGAAGGGATGAGAGGTATTTCTCCGTTCTGTAGCGTTGGAAGTTCAAAGGTTTTTTGTTTGTGTTGAAGAATGGGGTAACGGCTAGGGGGGGTGTGTGTTCAACGGCTGAAGGGTGTTCTTTTGTTGAAGAACGACGCAAGGTGGGGGTGTTCCTTTTGGTAAAAAAACGGCCCTCATTTTTTAGGTTAGGGGCTGCGTTTAAGTCTAAGTCTAGGTTTTTAGGGGTATTAGGATTGGGTTATTATGGGATAGGTCCCAGAATTAGGCCTAAAAATATGACCTCATTTACCAATTAATCTTACTTAAATAAAATAACTATTAAAATAAGACTAACGGTTAAAACAAACCTACTTTTGGTATTTTTCAAATATCATACTAAAAGATAAAAATGGAATTAGATTAAATTCATTGCAAAAATTAAAATAATATTCCTAAAAACAAAGTGGAATTATTTTTGTATTTTTTTAATTTTATATAAAGTAGATAAATTAAAAGTAACTAGATAAAATATTAATTAGCTAAATAAAAGAAAATATTTTTGTAATTTTTATTTTTGTGATAAAATAAAGTAAAAGAGTCAAAACTAATTGAATACCGATATTAGGCCTAAACTAAATATTTATATGCTACAATATGTAAAATCTTGGGGAGGGTCAAAAATCAAATGTCTACACCTAGTCGCAGAGACTAGGTGTCGTCACGACATCGTACAGAGGGAGAATATGGTCAAGAAAATTTGGTAAAAGCGATCTATGTTCATAGGTGTCGTGAGTCACAAGCAGTTTTAGTAGAGTCCCGTGAATCGGTACAAAGATGTATGTACTTATCTTCGGGAGGATATAAAACTGTTAGGAAAATTTTACTTCTTTTGATTCCTTGTCGTACGAAATTGTTGAGTGCGAAATGCTAAACTTCGGTCTTCTATGCTCTCACGGATGGTGAGGACAGGTATAACCGGATCAGATGACCAGAAATCTGCTCCTCTGCTAGAGTCGCGAGAGATTAGGGTCGGGGTAGAGGCTGTGGACATCTACGTGGTGCAGCTAGAGCACTCGCACAAGCTGCTAAAGAGGAGCCACATGTATCTCCAATCGGAGCACCAACAACTGAGACACTTGTTACTGCACCAGCTCTCCAGGATACCCTTGCACAGTTCCTGAGCATGTTCGATACTCTAGCTCAGGAAGGGTTGATTCCCCTTGATCCTGCCGCATCTCAGGCCGGGGAGGAGCACATACTCTCACCGCCAGCACCCTAGAGTAGCGGGTTCAGGTCGACCAGGTTCCATAGGTTATACTAGTGCAGCTGGTAGCCCTAGTTCGGCACGAGGGTAGGGCAACAACTTCTAAGGAGGAGCATCTAAGTATCGAGAGGTACAATAAGTAACACCTTCCTACTTTCAGTGTCTTGGAGACAGAGGTCGCCTAGGGTTTTCTTGAGGAGTTCTACCATATCCTCCGTACTATGGGTGTAGCGGAGTTGATTGGGGTTTCTTTCATTGCGTTCCAGCTTAGAGGACCAGCTTATCAGTAGTGGTGTGCTTATGAGTTGGGTAGTGTGACTGAGGCAGCTTCAGTTACTTGGACTCAGTTCTTGGATAAGTTCTTGAGGGAGTATGTTCCCCAGAGTCTCAGAGATGTCTTGCGTGCTGAGTTTGAGCAGTTGCACCAGAGTGCCATGACTGTGTTAGAGTATGGGGTATGCTTCAGCAATTTAGCTAGACATGCACCAACCTTGGTTGCTATAGTTCGAGAGAGGATCCGTCGGTTTATCGAGGGGCTCCATCCCAGCATCACGATTAGCATGGTCCGGGAGTTGGAGATGTATATGTCGTACCAGTAAGTCATGAGTATTGCTAGGAGAGTGGAGGACATGCTTTCTCGGGATAGAGATGAGAGGGAATCCAAGAGGTCTCGAGAGCTTTTTTTGAGTGTGGCACTCGCCAGACTTAGCAGGGACGCACCTCCAGAGACTTCTCAGGCATCGCATGCTCCACCGGGTCCTCAGGCCATGATTACAGCACCAGCTACCACTCCACCTGCTCAGCCCGCTCGAGGTGGAGGTTAGGATGGTAGAGGTCACCCTAGAGGGAGTGGTTAGACCAGATATTATGCTCTTCCTTGTTGTATAGAGGCAGTTGCATCCGACTATATCATTACAGGTATTGCTCCGGTCTGTCATAGAGATGTGTCGGTTTTAATTGATCCAGGCTCCACTTATTCCTATGTGTCCTCTTATTTTGCCCTATATTGGGGCATACCTCTTGATTTATTGAGTTCTTCTATTTATGTGCCAACACCTATGGGAGATTCTATAGTTGTTGACCGTATGTATCGGTTGTGTTTGGTTTTTCTTAGTGGTTTTGAGACCAGAGCCGATTTATTATTGCTTAGTATAGTAGACTTTAATATTATTTTGGGCATGAACTGATTGTCGCCCTATTATGCTATTCTTGATTGTCACGCTAAGACCATGACGCTGGCTATACAAGGAATACCGCAGTTATAGTGGAGAGGTACCTTAGGTTAAACTTCCAGCAGAGTTATTTTATTTCTTAAAGCTCAATGAATGGTTGAGAATGGGTGTGATGTGCATCTAGCTTATGTGAGAGATGTTAGTATTTATACCCCTACAGTTGAGTCAGTCCCAATAGTGGGGGATTATCCCGATGTATTTCTAGCTAATCTTCCGGGCATACCGCCTGATAGAGATATCGACTTTGGTATTGATTTGTTACCGGGCACTCAGCCCATCTCTATTCCTCCATATCATATGGCTCCTCCTGAGTTAAAATAGTTGAATGAACAGTTACAGGAATTGCTTGATAATGGCTTCATTCGACCCAGTGTATCACATTGGGGTGCCCCATTCTTGTTTGTGTAGAAGAAGGATGGTTTTATGCGTATGTGCTTTGACTATCGCCTGTTACAGTGAAGAACATGTATCCCTTGCCTCGTATTGATGACCTATTTGATCAGTTACATGGTGCCAGATTGTTTTCCAAGATTGACTTGCACTGAGGTTGTCATCAGTTGAAGATTTTGGGGCCAGATATCCCGAAGACTGCTTTCAGGACTCGGTATAGTCATACGAGTTCCTTGTGATGCCATTTGTGCAGAACAACGCCGCAGCAGCATTTATGCATTTGATGCACAATGTATTTCGTCCCTATCTTAACTCGTTCGTCATTGTATTTATTGACAACATTATGGTGTACTCTCAGAGTCAGAAGGAGCATGAGCAGCACCTGAGGACTATGCTTCAGACCTTGAGAGAAAAGAAGTTATATGCAAAATTCTAAAAGTGTGAGTTATGGTTAAAGTCAGTGGCTTTTTTGGGTCACGTAGTGTCATGTGAGGGGATCAAGGTGGGTCCAAAGAAGGTTGAAGTAGTGCAAAGTTGGCCTAGACCGTCCTCAGCTACAGAGATCCGGAGTTTCATAGTTTGGCGGGGTATTAACGTCAATTTATTGAGGGTTTCTCATCTATTGCAGCACCTATGACCAAGCTGACCCAGAAGGGTGCTCCATTCAGGTGGACACAGAAGTGTTAGGTGAGCTTTCAAAAGCTCAAGATAGCTTTGACTGCAGCCTAGTATTGGTATTTTATACAGGTTCAGGGCCTTATACTATATATTGTAATGCGTTGCGGGTTGGTCTCGGTGTGGTATTGATGCAGGACCGTAGGGTGATTGCCTACACGTCTATACAGCTGAAGGTGCATGAAAAGAAATTTCTTGTCCACGACCTTGAGTTAGCAGCTATTGTTCATGACTTGAAGATTTGGCGGCACTATTTTTATGGTGTCACATGTGAGATCTACACTTATCACTAGAGTTTGCAGCATTTGTTCAATCAGAAGGATCTTAACTTGCGTCAGAGGATATGGTTAAAGCTACTTAAGGATTATGATATCATCATTCTATACCATCCCGGGAAGGCCAATGTGGTGGTGGATGCCTTGAGCCTCAAGACGGAGAGTTTGGGGAGCATAGCATATCTACTAGTAACATAGAGTCTGTTGGCATTGGATGTTCAAGCCTTGTGATAATCGGCTTAAAGTATGTATATTTTGACATATATCGCTTCACATTTAACTCATGTATCGAAGATTTGAGATGTATAATATGATGATTTGTGGTATTTCTATGTGTAGGAATCATTCGGATGTAATTTGGGAAGAAATGGCGCAAATTGGAGCGAAATTGGGACAAAAAGGAAAAAAGTAAAATTTGAGGGCCACAGCAAGCGTGGGGAGTTAGCTGTGGCGCAATTTACAGAATGTATAAGATTTGAGCGCCAGGGCCAGCGCCTTACGCTGGCCTGGACGCTCAAAACATGAACATGTCCTTTTTCGACTAGGACTCGGTTATTTTGACCCAAAGACGCCCCCAACTCATATAAAAGCCAACCCGAACCTATTTTGAGATGAGAGGACATTTTTATGAGGAAAACACAAGCAAGGAGCTACTGTGGAGGCAGGAGTTCATCAAGTTCCATCTTACTTCCACCAAACTTAGTAATTTTTATGTTTCTCTGTATGATTTGTTGTTTAGCTACCATGTCTATGTGGAGCTAAACTTCACGTTCTGGGGTTGTGGCTCTTCATGACTATTGTTATTCGGATATTGATTTATTTATTTAATCCTGCACTTAATTATTTGATTGCTTGATCACCAATTGAATACTATCTACGAATCTTGAATTGAACTCAAAAGTAGGAATTCTAGATTGCATATAGGATTGAGTAGAGCAAGTTCTTGAATCCGAGCATCGGGGAATGGATTCGCGATAGGATAGACATATACCTAATTGCCTTGCTTGGTTGATATACAAGAATTATAAATGCGTTCTTGTTGATTCTAACTCCATAGGCATATAGGCGTTAGGTTAGCTTGAATAGGCAAGTAAGAACTTGACAGATTCTTATGAGCAATATTAACCCTGTCAACCAATAAACTAGATAAATTTGTTAGTCAATTCAATTGAAGAATACAATAGGAATGTTAGATAGCCCGTGACCCTAGATCGTTTTCATTACATCGATATCATAAAAATCTGCTTTTCCCTTGTTCAGATTTCACCATTTATTTTCCTTTATTTTGATTAGTTTAGAATCAAATATTTCTAGGTTTAATTCTTGTTAGATACTAAG